CATACTCCGCACGTGCCAGGCTTTCCTTGCCCTTGGCTCCTTCTCACCAGCCTCGTGAATCTGGGTCTCAAGTATCTATTTACTGCAGTTTCAGGCAGGGGTCAGAATGCATGTGTGTTCAATTTTAGCCCAGAGGATTATCCTTCTTTATGTATTCTGTATACTAATCAGTTACATGTTGCAAATCTCTCAGTTTGTGGCTTTTTCCCCCCTTTATGGTGTCTTTGATGAACAGAAGTTCATAATTTAAACCAGCTGAATTATTAATCTGTTTGATGGTTAATGCTTTTTGTGACTAAAGAAGTCTATCCATACTCTCAGATAATGGAAATAATGTCCTGTATTTTCTTCTGAAAGCTATATGGTATTACTTTCCATATTTAGTCTAACAGTACTTTCATTTTGGGTGCGGTATTAGATATTAATTTTATTTCTATCCATATGAATAACTAGTTTTCTTACTGAGCAGTTTGTTTCTCCCATGAATTTGTCACGCCACCCCAAGCCTGATAAATCTTTTTCCACAGCTTTATCGTCAACCATTTTTGCTGAATATTTTTTCCATATATGTATGAGTCTATTCTTGATATATGCTCTTTTGTTTATTCATCTATTTATGCCTTTCTATAACTTTGTAATTAATATATGTAATGCATATCTGTTTGGAAAATTCTTTATCGTGTGTGTGTGTGTGTGTGTGTGTGTGTGTGTGTGTGTGTGTGCAGCTGCGAGTGTATGGACATTTGTGTGAAGGCCAAGGCAATGTTCAGTGTCTTCCTTTATCGATCTCTGCCTTGCTTTTGAGACAGGGTCTCTCACTGGACCCAGAGATCTGGTTCAGCGACTTGCCAGAAAGCCCCAGGAGTCCGTCTGTCTCTCCTTCTCGAGCCATGGGATTAGGCATGAGTCACTGCACTGGGCTTTTACACCGGTGTTGGGAATTGAATTCACACCTTCACGCTTGCACAGCAATCACTTTATGAACTGAGCCAGCTCCCCAGCTCCATTTCATTTTCTTTTCTTTCTTTCTTTCTTTTTTCTTTTTTTTTTTTTTTCCCCAGACAGGGTTTCTCTGTGTAGCTTTGGAGCCTGTCCTGGATCTCGCTCTGTAGACCAGGCTGGCCTCCCTGGTTCTGCCTCCCGAGTGCTGAGATTAAAGGTGTGTGCCACCACTGCCTTTTTTTTTAGGATTTATTTACGTATGCCTGCATGCCAGATCTCATTATAGATGGTCATGAGCCACCATGTGGTTGCTGGGAATTAAACTCAGGATCTCTGGAAGAGCTCTTAACCTCTGAGCCATCTCTCCAGCCTCCTAATTTTCTTATTTTGAGACAGGGTCTCTGTGTAGTCCTGACTGTCTTGGAACTTGATGTGTAGCTCAGGCTGGCCTCAAACTCAGAGAGATCCACCTGCCTCTGCCTCCTGAAGTGCTGGGATTAAAGATGTGCACCATCATGCCCAGCCTAAAAAACATTTTTGTTGTGTTTTATTTTGTGGTGTGAATGTGGTGTGGTGTGATGTGTGTGTGTGTGTGTGTGTATGTGTGTATGTGTGTGTGTGTGTATGTGTGTGTGTGTGTGTGTATGTGTGTGTGTGTGTGTGTGTGTGTGTGTGTGTGTGTGTGTGTGTGTGGTGTGTAGCAGGAGAATAACTTACAGGAGTCTGTCCTCTCCAGCCACCGTGTAGGCTCAGAGATTAGTCAGGTCAGTCAGGGCCTTTACCCCTTGAGCCATTTGACAGGCTTTTTTTTGAGTATACAGAATACAAATAGAAGTTCATTGTACAGATGGACTTCATATTTCATAGTTCACTAAAACTGAAGAAGGAGATTCTAACCTTCACTTCCAGTCACTAAAATGACGGCTTCACTATGTCGCCTCCCTCACCTTCAGCCTCCCGAGTGGCTGAAACCGCACAGAGGAGCACTTCACCCAGCATTCATTTGTCGCCAATTTTACTAAAGCTGCTCAGACTATTTCTTTTCTCTATTTTCTTCTAGGTCCTCGGTTAGAAATGTTTTTTTTTGTCTGTATCTTGTCTTTCTTGATTAATCTCTCTAGAGATTTGTCTGAGTCTTACCAAAAAACAAAAAACCTGTTGACCTACATCCCTTGCCCTTCCATTTGAAACTTTAAAGATGTTAATTCCACCTCTGAGATCCTCAGGTCTGTTATTTCTGGTGATTCTGTAATATGGTGGGTTTGTTTGTTTGTTTGAGACAGGGTTTCTCTGTGTAGCCTTGGCTCTCCTGGAACTCACTCTGTAGCCCAGGCCGGCCTCCAACTCACAGAGCTTCACCTGCCTCTGTCTTCTGAGTGCTGGGAGGCATGCACCACCACCACCCAGCTTTCTTTTTCTTTTTAGCAGTGTTGGGGGTAAAAGCTAGGGCCTCAAGCATGCTAGGCAAGTGCTTTACCACCAAGCAACACCACCGGCCTTGACTTGTTTTCTATCTTATTGTGAACGTATGTTGATTTGGCAGCACTTTGGATACCTGAAGACCTGTGGTAAGGATGTTTTCTTCCATAGAAGCTGTACAGTGGTAAGTGTGTGTGCGCGCGCGCATGCAGGTGTGAGTTACGTATGTATGCAGGTGTGCATGTATGCCTGCAAGTGTGTGTGTGTGTGTGTACATTGTGTATGTATGCAGGTGTGTGTGTGTGTGTGTGTGTGTGTGTGTGCATGTGTGTGTGTGTACATTGTGTATGTATGCAGGTGTGTGTGTGTACATGTGTGTGTGTGTGTGTACATTGTGTATGTATGCAGGTGTGTGTGTGTGCATGTGTGTGTGTGTGTGTGTGTGTGTGTGTGTGTGTGTGTGTGTGTGTGTGTAAAGAGCCAGAGACACTGAACCTTGATTTCAGTCTGGAACTGACAGATTTAGTACCTCTACTTTCAGCTACTTTAACATGAGTGTCTCTCGGAGAGCTGGTATTGGCATGCTATCAGGCAATCCTGTCTTTTGAAGTATATTTATCACTTATGATTCTTCAAAATAGAACAAAAATTAAAAATCAACTTTATGTGAGACTCAGAGCTTTAGACAAGTACCCAGATGCAGCCCAGTTTGGTCCAATTTGCTATCCTCCAAGTTCCCACTCTTGCTCATTTTCTACAGAGCATATTTAGACAGAAATACTTCACAAATTTCTATTCATAAATTCCTTTGTTATCACAATCTCTAATTCCCCACATTCATTGCTCCTCTTCTCTACCGCAGACACACAGGAGGGAATGTGATGCCCATGCATAAAGATGTGCTCCTGAACATTTCCGGCCTGGTCTTCAGGTAGCCCCAGGGCATTGGCACTTTCAGCTCTTCTGTGAATTAATTCTTCACCTGTTTTCCCTTCTCTCTCCAGTCCAGATCAAGGTCACCTTCAGAGAAGGGGCTTCTGTGACCTGTGGGAGTGGGCTTCCTCCGTTTCCACTACGATGTTTATTTGCTAAACAGCATTTTGGACAATTTAGAAATTTTGTGGTTTCTTTTCTTGTTTGTTATTAGTCCCTCACAGGCGTAGTTCCACGAGAACAGGACCCTGTACTATTTTACACACTGCTGGATGTACCTAGGAAAACGAATAAAATACAGAAAAGGCAGCTGGGAGCAGGCCTGTAGTCTCCACTGTTGGAGGGTTGAGGCAGGAGGATTGCCTGGGATACAGAGTGAGTTCAGGGGCAGCCCGAGTAAGTAAGTTACTGAGACCTTATATCAAACTTTAAGAAGCTGGGGCAATGGCTCCGTGAGTAACAGTACCTGCTGCGTGGGCACGAGGGCCTGAGTTTGAATCCCCAGCATTCATGTAAACAAAAATATGCAAACAAATAATATTTAAAAATTAAATCAAAAAATTTAATAGCTAGAGCTATAGTTCAAGGAGTAGAACACTTGCTTAGCATTCTTGACACCCTGGATTTGATTTCCAGCACCACAAAATAAACAATGACAAACAAATAAATAAAGGCAGGTGTGGTGATGCACACACTGTAATCCCGGCACTTGAGGCTGAGACAGGAGGATGAAGAATGGAAGGCCAGCCTAGGCTACATTACAAGTTTAAAGCCAGACTGTGTTATTAGAATCTGCCTTAGTAAATGCAAAGCTATCACAAAATGGCTAGGCACAGTCTTGCCTGAAATCCCAGCCAACTTGGGAGGCTGATGTAGAAGGCTGCCACAAGTTTAAGGCCAGCCTAGGCTACACAGTGAGGCCTTGTCTCAACAAATAAGTAAATAAACAAACACAGGAATGAAATTAAAAAAAAACTGAAAATAACTCCAAACACAGAGACAGTCACACACCAGGCATCCAGACACATGACTGTCGTCTGTCCATCCCACCGGAACCCCTGTACTTACTGGGGTCACAAACTTGTTGGCTTCCCATGCCCACAGCGGTGGGTCCTTATAGACCTCCTTGATGGAGGTCGGAGCCCTGTAGGAGTCACTGTAGGTGCTTATGGGGGTCTTGGTCTTCCGGGAGAAGAGGAACATGGTGGAGTCTCGGGGATGCGGTAGTGGGCTCTGCCTATCAAGGACTCCTGCTGGACATTAGTGACCACCCCTTCCCATAGACAGCCCACACCTCCAGCCTGGAAGGTGCCCTAGCTGCTGTGACCCCCTCCTTTGGGGGACCTCTCAGTGTCCCTCCCCCCTCAGCCTTCCTGCTTCCACTCCACCCGGCTTCCTTTCCAGGATGGGCGTGCCCATTATGATATCACTTGCCTTGGCCCCATCCCGCACAAGAGGATTCATTTCCTCCCCATGCCAGCCCCTTCCTGCCTTGAACCCTTCAAAATATCCATGTCCCAAGAGTTCAGAAGGCCCCTAGAAAACTGGAGGCCAGACTTTTCACTGCCGGAGAGAGGCAGCGGTTAGGAGGGCTGTGATTCACTAGATTCACACATCAATAAGAAGAGAGGTAGAGGGCATTCGCATCCAGGGGGTGAGTTTTCTCCCCTTCTCAGCCCACAGCCCAGGTAAGGAGACACATCTGGCTTGTTTGATGCTTTTAATATCATTATTTGTGTTACACGATACACAACCAAGGATGATGGTCAATACTGCGATGGAAATGTTAAAAAAAATATTATACACGGCTCATGTCTTCCACACACCTTCTTGGAAATAAATTAGTGAGCGCGGAGAAACCTGGCTGGGTGGCAGCCACAGCCGAGGGTGAGGGAGTGTTAAGGCAGTATCTACAAGGGGTGGGGGGAGCTGGGGCACGCTAAGGCCCTGGCTATTCCCCTTCAACTTCCAGACAGGGAGGGAGGAGGGGACCTTGGACTCTCCTTGGACACAGAAGCTGCTGGCTGCCAGCTTCCTGCCCCTACCCACGGTGTATATACTACCCCAGTCTAAAGCCCTGGCCTGCTAATGAACGAGTGTGTCCTGTGGGGAGGGCACTTTTCCCTGGCTCTCAGGGCCACAGACATTGATGGGCCAGAATCCCACAGTAAGTCAGCAGCAGAGGCAGCAGTCTACAAAGAGGAGGTACCCATGTTCTAGAAGGGTGAGTCAAAGAGCCCAGTGGGGTGGGGGCAGTAGGAGTTCTAGTTCTGGGGCCCAGATGAGGGGTAATGGGGTGTTAACCAGGGTGGTAGAGGGACTCAGATGGGGGCCACTATGGGCCTTGTGGCCCCTGTGGATACTTTCTGACTTGCCTCCCTTGGCATTTTCTCTATCTAATTAGGATCTCTGCACTAGGGGAGGGAAGGTGGACTGGAGGTGTGGGGAGTCGACAGCTACACTCTGATACTTTGGAGTGGGCAGCCACGGGTGGTAAGGGAGAGGTGCTTCCCTTCCTAAGCCGACAGCCCCACACTTCCTCTCACCACGCCCACTCCAGCCCCCACCTCCCAGGACTGGTACCCAGAGAGTGGTATGTGAGTGGTAGCCATGACAGTGGAAACCCCAGCCTGTGTGGGGTGTCAGCAGGAGGCCTGGAGAAGCCACACTTTGGCCACTTTGGCTTGGTGAGAGGAGGCTGTTGGGGAATAGGCCAAGCCACCTGAGGCTTTCAGTTGTCTTTATATGAGGGCAGGTCTACTGCGAGCCAGGGGAGCTACCATCTCCTCGGCATCGAGTTGTATCCTCAGCTTTCCTCCCCCAGATCAGCAAAAGCAGCAGAAGCAACAGTATGCATGACACCCCGTACAGCCACACGTGCATGCACACACACACACACACACACACACACACACACACACACACACCCTCTTTTCCAAACAAATCTGCATGTGCTTCCCACGCCTATGCAGGCACGCACCTCAGGGCACCTTCTAGCTGTGCTCAGAGACAGCTCTCTAGCCCTCTGCAGAAATTCCTGTGAAGAAATTCCTTCAGATATGAAAAGACTTTGTCAGTAATGTCAGCTCTTCTCTATTTTCCAGTTGAGAGAACTGAAGCCCTGAAAAGCCTGGGAACTGCTTAAGAGCTCAGGGAGAATGTCAGAGCCGGGGTCAGAACCCAGGCTTCTGACTGCCAGGCTACGTCCTCAGTTGACTGCATTCCCAGGCAGCCTTATGTCCAGTCAACAGATCACAGTCATTTCCCCACCACAGACACCCACCGGGCTGACCTGGACAGACAGGTTTAATACACAGAGACACACACACACAGACACACATTCATACACACAGACACACACACACACACAGACACCCACCGGGCTGACCTGGACAGACAGGTTCAACACACACACACACACACACACACACACACACACACACACACACACACACCAGCTGACCTGGACAGACAGGTTCAACACACAGAGACACACACACAGACACACACACAGACACCCACCAGCTGACCTGGACAGACAGGTTCAATACACAGAGACATACACACAGACACACACACAGACACCCACCACGCTGACCTGGACAGACAGGTTCAACACACACAGACACACACACAGACACCCACCAGGCTGACCTGGACAGACAGGTTCAACACACACAGACACACACACACAGACACACATTCATACACACAGACATGGTCACAGACACACACACAGAGACAAACACAGACACACACAGACACACATTCATATACACACACATTCATACACACACAGACACACCCACCAGGCTGACCTGGACAGACAGGTTTAACACACACAGACACACACACACAGACACACAGACACACACACACAGACACACATTCATACACACACACCCTACCACATCCACACAGCTACTTGGTGCACAATTTTTTCTTAAGCTTGCCCTTGAAAAGCCTTTCTGGAAGCCAGCCTCCTGGACCTCTAGCTAGGGGGAATTGGGAACTGGGGGCCAGTCTTATCTCTTGCTTCCAGCCTGGAACCAATAGCTAGGAGACTGGGAGAGGGGTAGAGACAGGGTAGAGACAGATGCATTGGTTAGAGGCTCTGAGAACAGGTCCTACCACCCCAAACCTGGCCTCTCTCTAAGACTCACACCACCCGCCCCCAATCCTCAGCAAGTAAGGAAGTGGGAGCGTGACAGAGCAGAGGGGGAAGGCAGTGATCTTGTGGAGAGGCAGTACCCTTTGGACAGCTTTGCCGGGCTTCCCATCTGGAGATGAGGCAGAAACACAAATAGGTATACGGGCTGGCACGGGGTGGGGAGGGGCTCTGAGGTGTTGAGAACTGTCCCCATTGCTTGGGGCCTTTTCTTTTCCAAATCCCTTTCCTTCCTTTCCAGGCTGGAGTTGGGGAATTCATGGCTTCACTGGCACTGGGGCCAAACCCCTGGCCTTGTGATCCCTTCACCCGACTGCTTACAGTTGGCCTCCTGGCCTTCAGTGCTGCCCCTGATTGCAGCTCTGGGGAGAGGTGGCAGGGTGCTTGGGGTAGTTTCCCCCAAGTAACTGAACATACAGTGCCCCCACCCCCAGCCCCGGGGCTGGAGACAGACCCGGTTTTGGTTTCTCCGGCTCCATGAACACACAGAGGTACACGTCCTACCATAGGAGGAAGCAATGACTGTTACGAGGTTGGCGGCTGTAAGGGGCTCGGGGTTGTAAGGGGGCCAGTGGGCCAGCTGGGTAGGGGTCTGCCCCTGCCGGCCCCACCTGGCCCGACTCGGCCCCGCCCCGTGCGCCGCGGCGACCCCGCCCGCTACTGAATGTGGCAGGCGGTGGAGGAAGTGGCCTGGCAGCACATGCAGGTGGGGTTCACGGACTTGGGGGGGATGAGATCTAGGTCCTCATCGTCGGGGATCTCGTCTAACCGGTAGCCGTCCTTCAGCAGCTGGATGTTCAAATCTTGGTTGATCTGCTGTAGAAAAGGTTCGAGTCAGCTGGAAGGCATCACCCCGGGCTGAGGCCGCCACTGCCACCCCGAGGCCACAGAGACAGCCCCTTCTCATATCAGGTTTATTTCCAACTCCGGTCTGGCTCGGGCCTCATTTCCCCCAGGCAAGTCTTCCTAAGGCCCTCTACAGACCCCTGCCCAGTCCAAAGATCAACTTCCCATCTTGACCCTTGTTTCTGTTCGGGGGTGCTCCCGTTTCAGGCCCACTCCTGGAACATGTTGCCTGCACGTCACCCTGTTCTATTTTAGAGCCCCGCTGTAAGAACCCCAGGCTCACTGCGATTCAGGGTAGCGATTTCTTCCCAGGCTCTCCCGACTCTCGCGGAGCCCCCTCCTCAGAGGGCTCTGCCCCATCTGCCTGCCTTCTGCCCCCTAAGAGGCCCAGTCTTGCAGCCTGGCGGAGGCAGTTCCGGCTCCCATAGTCTGTGGAGGTAAGGGGTGGAGCCTCACCTCTGCAGAGGAGTAGCCAGAGGAAGAGTATCTGGACATGTCAAAGTCATCATCGCTGGCCGAGAAAAGGAGAGAGGAAGTGATTCAGGAAAATTAAATAGAAAATTCTCAGTATCTTTGCCATACCCGCCGTCCCCCAACAGTATGATTTTAATAATCCGTGCTTATTACGCAAATATATGTTTGCAATGACAGGTTTCCCAGTTCAACCTTCAAATAAAGTGGCTTCTTAAATGCCTTCTGGATAGAACTGCTACGTCTCTTCCTTTCTGCCTAGTCCTGGTGTGTCTGTTTGTTAACTTTTTCTCTCTAGGTTCAAATCATCCTGGCTGGCTGGATTTTCTCAAAGTTTCTGGCTAGCCTGATGCTCTCCCATAATAGGGCTCTTCTCACTATGTCCTCTCCATGCCCATTCCTTAAAAACAAAACAAAACAATCCCCTTGGGAAATTTCACCCACGGAGAGCTCCTGGCTGAAGAACACCCCCCTTCCAGTAATATGGCAGGTGTGGCCTGTCCAGCCCATCTGTGCTCACAAAGGATCATGGGCTTGCGCAGCTGCCCCCAGGCCCCATACACACCTGTCTGTGTCCAGAGCTACCAGTGGCTTCTCATCGGGGCTCTGGTCGAGCGAGGAGTAGCCTTTATTAGGGACGACCAGCCTGGGTAAAGAATTGGGGAGTTGGAGTGCCAGCTGGAGCGCACAAACATGGTGGAGGGTTTGATGGGGTCCTGTCCCCTCATTTTCCTCCCCCTCCCCCCTGGGTCCCCCTGAGGAGGGAGAGGCTGGAGAGCAGGTGCTGGCTGGTGGGGTCTCAGTGGGGCAGGGAGGATGCCTACCTCGTCCGGGCCATGACATTGTTCTTCTTGGGTTGCTGGTTCACAGGGCTGCCCATGCTGCCGTTCTTCAGGGAACCCTTCCGGGCCAGCTCCCGCTGCTTTTCTGCAGGAGACCATGGGAAAGAAGCTGTGTCCCGCCCCAGGGCCACCAGGCCTTGCTGCTTGGGGCAGCCTGCCCTGGACCTTTCTTGTGCACATTTACTTCTCTACCTGGCAGAGAGCCCATGGCCCGCCAGGCACCTGATGCTTATGGACATGCATTTGGCCCTGCATAACTTGAGGAGGACTGTGGTGGATGAAAGGAGGAGGCTGAGTCCTGCTTTTGGGAACCACAGTTCCTGTGTTGGGCAGCCAGTGTGTGCTTGATGTCAAGGAAAGGCTAGAGAAGAAGAGATGACCACAGAGGGCTGGGGCAGCCAGGGAGGAATTTCTGTAGGAAAGAGGACATTAAGAGGGAAATCATGAGCCAGGCAGTGGTGGCACATGTCTTTAATCACAGCACTTGGGAGACAGAGGCAGATGGTTCTCTGAGTTCGAGGCCAGCCTGGGCTACAGAGTGAGTTCTAGGGAGAGCAAGGACTACACAGAGAAACCCTGTCTCAAGCCTGCCCACCCCCCAAAAGAAGTATGTACAAAAACAAATCAAGAAGTGAACACAACTGTGGATGGAATAGAGGGGAGAGGAGGTAAGGAGGTGGAGTTTGGAGAAAGGAGTCATTTATTCAGTTAATTATTCACTCAAACACCAGAATCACCAAGTACTCATCAAGTACTATATCACAGGGATGGAAGGCGTCCAATGGTTATAAACTCAGAGCACACATACATACCCCCAATCTCAGAAAACAAACCTCAGAGCACAAAAGCCTTGACCGGGACTACGGCATTTGGGATTGATGTGGAAGGGGAAGGAGCTACCAAGGGGTTCATGGCAAGAGGCCTCTGAACAGCCTGCAAGCTCTGCTAGGGGTCCAGGGCCTGTACTGCACTTATGGAGCTGGACATCTGGTGACCCACTTAGTGGTGCAGGACAGCTATTACTACCAGGAGCTGCCTGGGTTCAGAAGGGGGCAACCATTCTTTCTTACTCATGTTAAGTAAAGCCAAGATCCAGGAAAAGGGCTTGTTCTATGGCAGAAACACAGGGGGAAAGTTGTCTCAGAAAAGAAAGAGCAGCCGGGCGGGGGTGGCATATGCCTTTAATTCTAGCAATTGGGAGGCAGAGACAGTTGGATCTCTAAGTTTGAGGCCAGCCTGGTCTACAGAGCAAGTCCTGGACATCGAGGAGTACACAGAGAAACCCTGTTATGAAAAACACAACACAACAAAACTAAATAAATAAATAAGCAAAAAAAAAAAAAAAAAAAAAAAAAGCAAGAGCATAAGGATGGGAGGGGCCATTACAGCGCCTATGACTCACCTGAAATGTTCCCTGATTCCCACGCCTCTGAAGCTCTCTCATCCTACTTCCCGTCAGCTTTCTTTGCCTCTTACTCTACAAGGGGTTTTTCCAGCCTCTCTTCAGCGGGCAGTAACTGCCATTACTACATCTAGCCTCTAGGGGATGCAATTTGCCTTAAAGTTCTTGGTGATTTTCTTTATCGCAAATGAGACAAGTTGTGAATTTTCATGAGCTTTGGTGGTAATATAATGGTGAAGGAAATAAAAATGTTATTTTAAAAGCATGCTAAGTTTGTTTGAAATCATGAAAAAATGCAGACAATAAGCTGGCAAGGCTCAGACTATGGACTACTATGCAACCATTTAAAAGAACGAAGTCATTTTCTATAGGGGCTCTGAGACATTATGTAGTGGGAGCAAACATGACTCACAAAATGTGTACAATGCAATGCCATTTGTGCTAAAGTACAAAATGAAACTACGAGAACTTGGAATGGTTGCCTCTGGAGAGAGTAGAGAACTTATATGCATTTAAAATACTTTTATTGTTGCATTAAACAATAATAAACAAAACTAGCTGTACTCTGAATAGAATGTCCTAGGAAGACAAACAATTCCATTGAGAGAACTGCTGTTCTGTTTAGAAATCAGCCTGGATGTGGTCTAGAAGGAAAGAGCCAAGGTCTGTTTTATTTGTATTTTTTTGAATAGACTGAAAGAACAGGTCCCGTGGAAAGGAATTGTGATAGCTGTGGAGGGGAAGCTTGTTAAAGAGATAAGAGGCTCAGTCTTAACTGAGGAAGATCTCAATTTCTGGTGGGCAGCTAGAGCTGTTCTGAGAAAGATGGCTGGAATGATGGAGGAGTTTTAAGGACAGTGATGACCTGTATTCAATGGTCAGCTCTCTCCTGTGTGACATGCTATAATTTTTCTTCAGGAAATCATTTTTTCAGTGGAAGTCTGCTGTCTCTAGTAGCCTTGGGTCAATGAGATTTTGGTTCATGGGGGGGGCAGTTTTCAGCAGAGAAGAAGGTAAGAACTGGGCCAGGCAGGGGAGCTTTGGGTAGCTGTGGGAGTCAGATGATTTCAAAACAGGGAATGGACATCAGAATGGACATGGAATCCACCCTAAGAGAAAGGTGATGAGATATCTGGAAAGGAGAGGGGTTCTGTGGTTCACTAAGAAGGGGTCAATGTCCCCAGACAGGAGCCATCCAGGTCCTGAGACTTGTCCCTCAAACATAGCAGCAGCTGTATCTTTTGGAGGCAGGCTCCTGGCTGGTCCTTCTGAGTCCTGTCCTGGGGTTCTGTGCTTTACACACTTGCAGCCACCCCTTGAGTACCTGGTGCCTCTAGCCTCAGAGATCTCTCCTAGAGTTCCAGTACTCTGCAGAAAACCACTACTGCCTTCTTTGTCTTTCAAGACATAAGGTGCCCAGGAGTGCCAATGACTTACTTGGAGGTTTAGTCTTGGAATCCGCTAGCCTGAGCTAGCCTGAGCTACTTTAATTGTAGCACCTTGCTGTAAACCCAGCCCGAGAGCACCTTGTTCACTTCCCACATCGCCCTCATCCCCCAGACACACTCACCCAGCTTCACTTGGAGCGGGGATGGTTTGTAATTCATGGCTACTGACTCACCCTCCCGGGCGTCACAGTCTCCGTCTGAGATAGAGGCGGCGGCTGGGTCCTATGGGAGAGAGAGCAGAGAGACAGGGAACTATTAGCATCTGATCCCAGGGGTTGCCCAGAACCTTGAAACAAACCTTCTCATCTGCCCTCTGAGTTTCCGGGAGCATTTACTTCAGCAGCAGGCCAGTGTTCAGGGAGAGAGAGGCAGACCCATTTACTATGACCTCAATAGAAAAGCTAAGATGTATGTCCTAACCACATCCAACAAGAGTCTTGTGTAACCCAGGCTGCTCCAGAAAGCCCAAACTTGCCAAAACTCACAAGACTTCCTCTACAAATTCATATACATGCTGTCTGGCTCTCAGGCTTTTCTATGTATTTCCTAAGAAAAAGGTCTGTCTCTGTCCCTCTGAGTTTAAGGGTAGATTAAGGTCAGAGCAGGTCTCCCCTGAGAGAGCCCTTCTTAGTCTGGGTGTGGGCTTTCCACCGGAGCATAGTTGACCCACCAACAGCCACAGTCTTAAAAGAAAATTGACTCTCTCCCCTTCCCAGAAGCCATAAACAGCCTATAGTTCCCCAGTTAGGGGTGCAGGTTAGGGGTGCCCCTCTCCACTCCTGCTAGAATATGGACTGCCTGGATCTATGTGGCCTTGTGCAGGTAACCACAGCTGCCGTTGTTTATGAGTCCAGAAGACACCGTTTTGGTCTGGTCCCCCCTGACCTTTGGCTCTTATAATTTTTCTGCCCCCTCTTCCTCAACTGTCCCTGTGCATTGTGGGGAAGTGACAAAAGGCTCCGTTTGCGGCTGGGCAGTCCACTGACACTTCTCTGCACTCTGGCTGGTTGTGCATTTCTGAATTAAGTACCAGCATGACTAGTGCACCATGAGTGCTGCCATCTTCAACCAGGGATTGGAGTGGTCAACCTAAGGTACGAGGACTGCAGAGGATCCATGCTGCTTGTTCTGTCCTTGAAGAGCCAGAAAGCAGGCAGACAGGCAGATAGACCGGCCCCAGTATCAGGTCCAGGGATCTGTGTAGCTCCTGGTGACCCATTTAGAATGAAGTGAGGTCCAGAGAAGCGGCTCAGTGGCTGACGTGTGCTGTGTAAGCACAAGGACCTGAGTTCAGATCCCCAGAACCCAGGGAAAGCTGGGAGCACGGAGTGTCCACAGCCCAGTGTTCCTACCGTGTGAGATGGAGGCAGAAACAGGGATCTCTAGAAGCTCACAGTCCAGCTAGCCTGGTATATAAAATAAAAATAAAGGGCAGTAGATGCCAGGACTGATTCATTCCCAGTTATCCTGACCTTCACACGCACGCATGACAGGAGCACACCTGCTCTCTCACACATGACTGTGCACACACAAACACATCGCACACATGAAAATAAAGTAAAAACGAGACAGTGGGCACGCGCACGACTTGTTACTACAGTGAGAAGGAGAATCGAGATGTCTGAGAGGGAAATCCTGACGGTCTGTTCCTGGATGGGCTTGGCTGCCACAGTGGCTTTCAAGTTCCTGTGGGAAGAGCCTGGGCCTCTTTCTCTGCCTCAGTCCCTACCCTACCCCTTAGCCATGGTGAGGTGAGAGGGTGACAGGAGCTCTGGGACAGGTGAGGTATAGCAGTACCTGCATCTCGGAAATGCCTGCATCTCGGAAATGCCTGCATCTCACAAGTACCTGCATCTCAGAAGTACCTGCATCTCAGAAATGCCTGCATCTCACAAGTACCTGCATCTCAGAAGTACCTGCATCTCAGAAATGCCTGCATCTCAGAAGTACCTGCATCTCAGAAGCGCTCGAATCTCAGATAACTTCCCATGTGGCAAACCGTCCCAATCCTCATTCCCCCGACTCTCAGAGCTCCCTGGGAGACTCCCTTCAAACTGCACCTTGGAGAAGCTGGTCTGCAGTGGCCTTTATCCACACTGAGGCCCCAATGGCCTCTCAGCTGCTACCCATGGGGGAGGCAGAGACTTGATGGCTGGGCTCTGACATTACTCTTGGTCCACAGGGTGAGCTCACCCCCAAGAAATCCAGAGGGAGGGATTTTCAGATGGGCAATCCTGTAAACATGCTGGTGGCACCATACTAGGGAAGATCTGGTCCATTTCTAGGCTCATCAGTCACAGTCTTTCATCCTTTCTGTAATCTTTGTTAGGTAGGACACACAGGGCATCCATTTGAAACTGGCTTCCTCAGGATGCTATGCTCCCACGGCTATCTGATTATTTCTGTGTCTATCCACATCTCTTTGTCTCCTCAGCAGGGCCGCACCCTTCCGACTCCATTTTCTCCTTGAAGAAACCTGATGCCTCCTGCAGTCTGGATGACATTTTGTATGATGACTTCTAAATTGCGGCCTTTTAATCTTGAACCTGCTCCTGGACCCTCTCTACTCTACCTGCTACATGGGTGTTTGGTCTCACTGTTTTTTTCCCCTGAGGTTGATTTTAGAGAACACAAACCCCTAGGCAATGTAGGCTGAAGTGTACTGACCCAGCACAGATAGGTGCGTCAATTTCTTCTCTGAGGTTGCAGGTGTCAGTGGTTAACATGTGTGGCAGAAAACTCAGGAAGGACAGAACCTAGGACAAGGACTGGGGAGCTGTTGAGCATCTCTGGTTGGTGACCCCATTATGGCTCTCAAGGCCCACTGGCAGTTCCTCCTAGTATTTGATCCCGAGTGAAACCATAGGATCAAAGCCCCAGGCTGAGAAGCTCCACACCAGACTCTTCTCTCCAGCAGCTCCTCCATCACTGTCCATGGGAGAAGGCCATTTAAGCGGCGACTACAAAGGTCTTTGGCACAGTGCCATCAAAAGCTGTAGACTTTCTGAGTGTCTTCTCTGAGAAATGCAGGCAGTGCACCATGACCATTGCATAGAGATTAAATGTAAAATATTCATGAACAGAAGTAGCAGAGAGGACTCAGGCAGAAGGAAGTGTCTGGCTCCAAGAATCAGAGAGAATTTAAAATGCCCCCCAAGGACTTCCGACAGGCGTTAGCTAGATCCGGGAACTAGAGTGGGGATTAACAAGATTATTAATAAACACTCAGCAGAGACAGGGCCTGAAATACGTTCCTAACAGCAATCCATGTCTCTACAACCATTCAAACAAACCCTCCAAAGGCTGCAGAGAAGATTAATAGCTCGGGCTATAGGCTAATGGCCAGCACAACATCAACACAGCCAGAGGAAGCAAAAGAGCCAGAAGCATTCTTAGAGTTAGTGTGGTCCAGCAATTTTCATTAACCTGTATTCCCAGAACCCTGTGCTTTGGGTGGGGCTGGAAATGTAAGTGGGGCATGTATGTAGGAATGGTAGTTACAGGGTCCTGGGTTCCCTTCAATCAAAGAAAGCCATTATTAGTTCACTTCTATATTAACCTTTCTGCAAACTTTGGGTTCGCAAAAGTGTTTTGTTGCTTAAGGAAAAACCCACTAACTACAGCCCTGGGAGATGACTCAGTGGGTGAAGGTGCTTGCCACTAAGGCTGACAATCCCCGGGACCCACAGAGTGGAAGGCGAGAACCAACTCCTGCAAGTTGTTCTCTGACCTCCACATGTGTGCTGTGGCTCCTCCCAGCCCTCACAAATAAATAAATATAATAAGAATACAATGCTAAAAATTCACTGATTTAATCCAGTCTAGTCTTTTAAAATGCTTTATGGAAAGTACAGAAAACAGCGCTAGTGAGATCTGGGTACCTTTCTGTGCATGTGCGGGTGCGGGTGCACTCACTATGCTTGTGTGTGTAGAGAGGCTGAAGGGTCCATGTTGAGTGGCTGTTCCTATTGCTTCTCACTGACTCTGGAGCGCTGCAGTTAGGCTAGACTGGCTGGCCAGTGAGCCCCAGAGATCTGCCTGTCTTCACCACTTTGTTCCCCCAGCACTGGGGTTATAGGCCCCACTGTCAGGCTCAGCTTTTACGTGGGTACGAGGAATCTGAACTCAGGGACATATGCTTGCACAGCAACCAATTTGCCCATGAGCCATCTCCGTACCCTCTATCCATTTTTTGTTTTTAAAAATAAGGAAAATTGAACTGGGCATGATAGCATACTTCTTTAATCCCAGCCCTTGGGAGGCAGAGGAGGGCAGATCTCTGAGTCTGGTCTACAGAGCAAGTTCCAGGACAGCGAGGGCTACATAGAAACCTTGTCTCAAAACAACAACAACAACAACAAAACAACAACAAAGAAATAAAACAAAAAAACCAAAAACCAAACCAACCAACCAACCAAACATAAAAGGAAAACTTGGACTGGGAGATGGCTCAGTAGTTAGGAGCACATGCTGTGCTAGAGGACCTGAGTTCGGCTGCCAGCATCCACATCAGCCAGCTCAAGACCACCTGTAGCTCCAGCTCCAAGGGACCCAATGTCTTCTTCTTCCCCTGCCCCATAATACATGAACAAATAAATAAAGGACACCTGGGCCCTGACAGGAACTAAAGGAACCAATGGCCTTGCTAGAAAGGAAGATGCTGAGGAGAACCTGACCAAGACTTGGAACAGAGATGGCCCTCTGGGAGGCTGCGCCTCCTGTGGGGCCATACATCAGCCTGCATGCAAACCTCCACATTTGTATACCTTCCCTGGAGCTGTATTAACTCTTCAAGGGTCTCAGCTGCCTGGCCTTGTCACAGCTGGGGTAGTATAGCAGATAAAGTAAGCTGGGACCCAGGAGACCTACTGTGAGCTGAATAGATCTGGATGAGCAAAAAGTGGGCATGACGGAAGAAACTCCGTCTTTAAGGCTCATAGGTAGGAGGGAAGGGCCTGGGAAGTGACAGGAGAGAATGCTTTCCTGGATGATCATCTACAGTCTGCTCCAGAAGAACTCTGGATGGCAAAAACAAAGCACATGAGACTTGTTTCATAGTTCCTTATGCAGATCCACGAGCCTCTGAAACACACAATACCCAATAGACAGTGTGACTGGCTCCCGATTGTTCACACTATACCTTTCTTCCATGGGAAAGGCTTGGGCGGTGTGACCATGCTCTCAGAGCTAAGGGGCTATCTGATGAAAGGAAGACAACCCAC